TCTTTTCAGGAGCAGTATATCTTCATCCATGATGCCATTCTAGAGGCCTGCCTATGTGGAGAGACGGCCATCTTGGTGAACGAGTTTGCCGTCACTTATAAGGAGATGCTACGGGTGGACTCTCAGAGTAACTCCTCTCAGCTGCGGGAGGAGTTTCAGGTGCTTGACCCTCCCTTTTTATACACCACTGCAAATGGTCTCCTGGACCTGCTTCATCCCTGCGTGTCAGGATGAGATTAGTTTCAGTTTAATTCTGTGACTGCTGATGCAATCCTCCCTCGGAGAACGTGTTATCAGATGTTTGCCTGCCTGATCCACCTTCCTCTGCTGCAGCTGTTTCGCTGACATCACATCTCAAAGTGATACAGAAAAAGGATGAGTCACCTTCTCAGACTTCATTCAGCCTCATAAGGAGCTCTGATGGACAGCTTGTTCATGATTAAGGAATGGCACCGTAGGTGATGCGGCGCTCCGGTTACAAACTGTTCCCTCTTCAGAAGGAAACCTCTCTTTGATCATGTGAACTCGTCTGGCATTGACTTTAAAAGCCTCCTCGCCGCCCAATGAGCTACTTTTTTAGCCTTTTGACTGTAATCAGTAGCAGTGAGATCAGCATGTCTTAGATCTATTACTGATGCCGTGCTAACGATCCAAATATTTCCCCACTTTGTCTGAAGAAATGATGAGAAAAAGAGCAGAGGAAAGTGGTCTGCAGTGCATCACGTTTTTATCTCCTGTTTAAAGGCGTATTATGTAGAAATAAAGTAAAAATGGCATCCTGTGGTAAAATTTGGTTACTGCAGCAACTTTAAACAACTCTGGAGCTTTTGCCTGCTGTTGTCAGATTACAGTTGTCGGCGCTGTAGCATTAGCTCGCAGGAGGCACGGGAACACCACACTCACTGTAAACAATTACGTCCCTCCTTCCTTTAATATGTTTCAGTAAAACCTTCCTTTCAAAAGGCCTGAAACGTTAGACACTTTTGGGATGTTCTCTCTGTGAAAGTCTACTTATTTTCTTACATACTGCACCTTTAACCTTTCCTTGTGCAGACGCTCAACTCGGTGACTCCCCACCTGGACGTGGAGGAGTGCAGCATCGCCTTGTTGCCGAGGAACCGAGAGAAGAACCGCAGCATGGACGTGCTGCCGCCCGACCGCGCCCTGGCCTTTCTGGTCACCACAGAGGGAGAAAGCAACAATTACATCAACGCCGCGCTCGCCGACAGCTTCCACCGGCAAGCTGCCTTCATCGTGACCCCGCACCCTTTACCCGGTACCACGGCCGACTTTTGGAGGCTGGTGTTTGACTACGGCTGCACCGCAGTGGTCATGCTCAACCAGCTCAACCAGTCCAACTCTGCCTGGGTGAGGTCAAAGGCTTTTATACTTTTTTATTGCTGTAGATCAGTGGTTCCCAAACTTATTTAGCCGCGCACCCCCTTCTATGTCCCGACCATGTCGACGCACCCCCCATCCCCACATCAGGGCATGGCTATATATATAGATATAGATATAGATATATAGATATATCTATATAAATATCTATATAAATATCTATATATATGTCAGACGTCAAGCTAAACAGACAGGGTAAAAAAATATGATCGACCTTTTTCCCCATCACTTTCATTTTTTAAATAGTAATTAATAAGCATTCGATACCATTACAATTTCCTTTGATTTAATTTTAAATAAATATTTAGAGTGCCCAGGTAGCACATAAATAATGCAATTTAACGGTTTTCTAAAAGCAGGAACGTTTAACCAGAGCGCTCTTCTTCCTTCTGCTCTGCGTAAACCTGAGCTGATCACCTACTTGTGCGTAATCAAATGTCTATAGGGGAAAATATGGAAAAGCCATGAGGTTCACTTTTGCCTCAGGCCGACTTATTGCTGTTTTATGGTGTGGCTGAATCTGCGATCCGCTGTCATGCGGACTGGAATACCAAATGCTGCAGTAACAGGAGTTGTAGTCAGGTTCAGAGTCACTGGCTGGAGCGGACCCGACTTTAATACGTCATCCCAAAATAGAAGCTAATATCTTAATTTGACCTGGAATGAAAAATGTTATAAAACCTCTTAAAGGTTTTTATCACAGAGGAGGCAGCGCTCATTTCTGCCTTCAGTCTGACGGCGCGCCGGAGTTTGCGCAGCGTGCTCGCTTATTGAATCTGTGTGTGTGTGTGTGTGTGTGTGTGTGTGTGTGTGTGTGTGTGTGTGTGTGTGTGTGTGTGTGTGTGTGTGTGTGTGTGTGTGTGTGTGTGTGTGTGTGTGTGTGTGTGTGTGTGTGTGTGTGTGTGTGTGCGGCACAGCTCCATGAGCCGCTCCAGTCACAGTGTCTCGTTATTGGCGCTATTCAAACCAATGTTGTAAAATTACTTCTGCCCAGCCCAGATGTGCTCACTTGTGCACCCGTGAGCCGTGGTTCCGCTGGAACGCGTCTGACCTCTGACAGACGCACTCTGAACTTCAGATCTTCAGCACGCTGTTAATAGCCTGAATGGGAATCATTTCTTGATTTATTTAGTTACATCCACAATGTTCTGTGTGTGAGGTTTACAACGTCAGAACACCTGCATGAGACAGGTGTTAATTACAATCTGCCAGAGTGACTCACCACCTTCAGATTCCTCCAACATCGTTAAAAATGATCAAATATGGAACATATCGGTGTGCGCAGGCCAGAGTGCTGAAGCTCGGCGCATTGTTATTATGAAACTAGGGCACATGTGGAGGACACGCGCGCAAAAATATATTTGTTTTCAATTACATTTATTGGGCCCACTTACTTTTTCTTAGGCCCACCCACAAATGAGTTTCTGGCTATGCTAATGGTGACATATGACAGACTTCTCTGAGCTCTGCAGCCATTACACTTTTCACCTCACGCAACCCCAGCGGCAGCTCGTGCACCCCCGGGGGTGCGCGCACCACACTTTGGGAATCCCTGCGGCCACCATCAGGAAGCGGAGACCCAGTTCAGCCATCGTTTTCCTCTCTGTACGGAGGTTAAATTAACTTTAAGTTCCCTGACGCGCGCCGCCTTTCGCCGTTCCTCCGTCTCGCCTTGCTCGGGATTAGTTTCTTCATGCCGTTATGTCGGCGTTGATCCCTGACCACATTGATCTGGAGGCATGACCAGATAACTCCCGCCCCAGTGTTTTTTTCTCATTAGTCCTTGAGATCCCCCCCGCCACATTTCAGGGTTCTTCTTGTTGCCGGCCCACTTTTCCTCACAAGCATGTTTCACTCTCTGTTCTCTGCTCGATCTATACCTCCTAAAATGGTCGCAGCGGGAGCCAGAACGACTGGTGGCAGCACTACACAAAGTTCTGTCCACACGTAGCCGGGGATCTGCCAAAACGTAGATATTTTTCTACGTTTTGGCCTGTCATCCACACGAAAACGGATCTTTTTAAAAACTCCGGCCAAAGTGAAGATCTGCGTTTTCTCCGTTTTGGGTGTCTGCGTGTGGACAGACAAAACCGGAGTTTTAAGGTCCGCAACGTCACTTTCCACGACAAAAAAATGCTGACATCACGTGTGCGACCTGTGTTTACACTAGCCGACAGCATGGATGCCCTCAGAGCTGCGCTCGCTTTATCAATTGTCCAAGCGCTTTCTGCTTGTTTGTTTTTGCAAGTGGAATTACTGCTCCTTGCGGAAGACCACAGACGAAGGACGAGGTTAAGAACGGGGGAAGTACTGCCGCCTACAGGTCTGGCATGTCCTTAACAACATATTTATCCGGGTATGTGTGGACAGAGTTTTCTTTTAAAACGAGGTGGTGTGGATGCAAGTTTTTGGAGGGGCGGATATTCGTTTTTAAAAAGCCGCGGCTACGTGTGGACTAGGCCCAAGTTCAGGGAAACTTTAGCAGCAAACAGCTGGATGGAGTTCACAAATGATTCTTTTAGCTGTTAGAGTTTTAAAAGATTCCTGTGCTACTCTGAGCCCAGCTTGATCTGCATCCATGTGGGCGCAGCTGCCTACAGACAACTTCAGCCACTTCCATCTGATTGAAAGCAGTGCATAATTACAACGATGTCTGAGCATTCTTGTCCAAAAACCATCATTCTCTCTTTGAGTCTATTGAGCTATCCTCTCGTTTTCCAAGCACAACAGATGAAAGGGTCATTACAGTAATCAAGCACAGATTCAGTGAAGTGAGCGCGTGTGAAATACGCCTGATTAGCATGAAAGCAAAGAAAGGGTTTCATTCTTCAAAATATATTTTCAGGTGGGAGGACAAAATAGAAGCTTCTGGCGACAACGTTGGTGTCCACATCAACAGTTTGGACATGTTGCAGTGTTGGGGACAACACACCGTGCTGAAGGGCGATGAAATGGGTTCATCTGACTCTGACATCTTTGTTTTTGTTGGAACAGAGAAAAGGGAGACGGGTAAACGTCTGATTCTAAACGATGGCAAATGTTTGAATTAAAAGAGCTTCATTGTCCCCAGGAGGCAGTCGGTTTACAGCAGAGTCGACAGTTATACACACGTACGCACGCACACACAAAACCATTCACTAATGTCTACCGGCACCATTGTTCACAAAGCCAACAGCTAAAGCATTAGCGTGAGTTTCCCTCTTGGGCACTACTAACCCTAACCCTCTGATGGCAAAGGCCTGAACTCAGCGTGCCACGAAGCCGAGGATCGATGATGCTCTCCTAGTGACTCTGATGGACTTCTCTAGGCCCAGCAACCTCTCTTTATTCACCACGCTAAGGTTATCAAACCAGCGCGCCATTCCAAATGAAACAGGATGTTTCTCAAGAGGGATTCATCAACATTAAAACCCTCTTACATAGACGCCTTGCAGCTTTCAGTCAGAGACTTTAATTGCAGCTGGAAGAGTCGAACCTGTTGCTCGGTTTAGTTCTGGAAGACGAATAAAATGTTTGCATCAGCCTCCAAGTACCGACTAGCATCAGACCGATAAGAAAAGGGAGGATTTACCGTTGAAGCTGCGCTTTGATCTGACGTGATTCATCAGTTTAAAACATTTAAAGTGTGTCTGTGTAATTATGGAGCCACAGTAGCCAAATCCACACAGCTTGTGTGATGATGAGCTGACCCTGGAAGTGTCATGAATTCTGTTTGCAACAGTCGTCTCCGAGTTTAGATGATTTTATTTTATTTTTTAATGTCATTCATTATTTTAAACCTGATTTAATTTTACTCCAAATGGAAGACAAAGAGCGTGAGTGTAGCTGATGTTGGGTGAGATGTTTAAACTAAGTCTTGACAGATTATTGTTCCTGTTCCTCCCTCTCTGCGGTTCTTCAGCTCAGCTTCAAATGGCTCTGAAAGGGATCGTGCCCAGTCGCCACGGCAACTCAAAGGGTGGAGGGAACCGAAACCACTCCAAAAAATATCTCCAGTGTGTTTGCATCTTAGTGAGAAGAGACGGATGGAGCAGATTTTCAGACCGTTTTCATCCTCTTGACGATAATTAGAGCGAACGTGTGATGAGACGTTTAAATCTACTAAACTCTGAACTGCTTGTTAAGAAGTATTTGAAGTATTGCACGTGTGGCGTTGCTAGCTTCTCATCGCTCTGACACGGGTATACACTAACAGAAATGGTGAGTTATGCACTGACCACACTAAAAGTGGCACAATTAGTCATATTCAAGCCTGTTGCAGTCTTGAACCACCAACATGTGTTTGTCCCAGGACCAACACTGCAGCCACCCAATCACATGGTAGTGATGTCATCTCTCTGCCCTGGATTGTTGTGTTTGAGTTTATGCAATGGATAGAAGGACTGCACAGGAGGATTCAGCAAACAGTGAACGGAGAATGTAATAAAAGTTTATGTCTTGAGATAGAAAGAGTGGCACGGCACGCGCGGCGGGGTCTGGCGTAGCCGGCAGGGCACGTATCAGATGGACGTGACTGGGAGCGGCTGTATGAGGCGGGTCAGCTGCGTGGCTGCTCGGTTAGGCGCAGAGAGGCATGAAAACAGAATATTTATGTCAATCCAAGAAAAGATTGGTTGGTGAAAAACTTTATTGTTTTTTCTGTTTGATGGCCGTGAGCCTAATGTATGGGTTAATACACGTATGTACAACTATATTTGACACGATGGTTTTATTTTCATCATAATATTATTATTAGAATTAATACTAACCGTTTTGTATTCTTGTGGTAAGAACCCAGACTACTTTCGTCGTCTTCCTCCGCTTATCCGGGTCCGGGTCGCAGGGGCAGCATCCCAACTAGGGAACTCCAGGCCGTCCTCTCCCCAGCCTTCTCCACCAGCTCCTCCGGCAGAATCCCAAGGCGTTCCCGGACCAGATTGGAGATGTAACCTCTCCAACGTGTCCTGGGTCGACCCGGAGGCCTCCTGCCGGCAGGACATGCCCGAAACACCTCCCAGGGAGGCGTCCAGGAGGCATCCTGACCAGATGCCCAAACCACCTCAACTGGCTCCTTTCGATCCGGAGGAGCAGCGGTTCTACTCCGAGTCCCTCCCGAATGTCCGAGCTCCTCACCCTATCTCTAAGGCTGAGCCCGGCCACCCTACGGAGGAAACTCATTTCGGCCGCTTGTATCCGCGATCTCGTTCTTTCGGTCATTACCCAAAGCTCATGACCATAGGTGAGGATTGGGACGTAGATCGACCGGTAAATCGAGAGCCTGGCTTTCTGGCTCAGCTCCCTCTTCACCACGACAGATCGGCTCAGCGTCCGCATCACTGCAGACGCCGAACCAATCCGCCTGTCGATCTCCCGATCCCTCCTACCCTCACTCGTGAACAAGGCCCCGAGATACTTAAACTTCTCCACTTGAGGTAGGACCTCTCCCCCGACCCGGAGTTGACAAGCCACCCTTTTCCGGTCGAGAGCCATGGTCTCAGATTTGGAGAAAACTACTTTGGGCCTAAATAATAAAATATATGTAATAATAAAATACATTTTTGCATGAGGAATTGTTCAAAATGATCCCATCAGAGCTTTTAGGATGCACCTTCCTGCTCGTGGACCGGAGTAGTGGAGATGACATCAGTCTGTTGTTGGTCCTGATGGTTAAGATCCATCACAAATATCCTCACTAAATACATTTAGTACTGATTAAAACGTCTTATGTTCTGGTTTTTCTGTTTTGTTTGGAAAAAGGAAAGCACACAGCTGTAAACATTGCCCGTTTCGTCCGCTCCCTTTTCAGATGTTTTCATTCCGTTTCGTGTCTTCCAGTCCAGGAAGGATGTGAAATTTGAGTTACAGCACCTTTTAGTTCCAGACACAGATATGGAGCTCATCAGTGGTTCTGCAGTTGTTCCAGTTCCTCTAACACACCTCTGCTCTCTACCACTACGACGTCTGCGTTTCTTCTTTATATTTAGCACAAGTAGTCCGCCGTTCTGGTGTCCTGCTCTGTGATTTAAACACTGAATACATTCACTGTAAAATGCATGTGATTTATTGATTTTTACCCAATACTCATTGGCCCATGTTCCCCAAACAGCCGTGTGTTCAGTACTGGCCAGAGCCCGGTTTACAGCAGTACGGACCCATGGAGGTGGAGTTCCTGTCCATGTCAGCAGACGAGGAAGTCATCACTCGCCTGTTTCGAGTCAAGAACATCACAAGGGTGAGTCGCCGTGACACCAAACAGGGCTGAGCTGGTCGTGTTGTTCCACAACACTCGTTACAGATGCATTAGCTGCAGTTTGGACCGGAAAATATAGAAGCAGCTTTTTTAACCAGCAGTGCATTTAGAGCTTTCACGTTCGACGTCGTCAGATCGAACAGAAAACTCCTCACAGCCGACGTGCTTTGGGTGACGTGCTTCTACCCAGGTGGCACTTCTGTCTTTTTCTTCAGAGACCAGTAAATTCATCAAACTATAGACTACATGCAGGTTTTATAGTGACCAATGAAAAAAGTGCACAACGCTTTTTTCTTTTTTGGTGCGCTTCAAAGTTTCAGATCAGCAAAAAAAGCCCAATATGAGACGACGACGACTGAGTAAATACAAACTGCAGTTTCAGACGATGATTTTGTTAATTAAGATAAAAATGAAACAAGGAAATGTGAGCACAAACTACCTGGCCCTAGGTCAAAAATAGTACTTGCCCTACCTGTTAAATCCTGAATTAGCTTTAATGCAGCAGCAGTTGCACCAGTCACACTACGGCTTGATTACTGCCAGAGCCGTAGAATTAGAAAATCACCTCCACAGAACCTGTGTGACTACAAGAAACAGGCTAAAAGATCTCAAACACAACGCCTCACGAGTCTGGAAAGCCGCGCTACGTGTGGACAGATATAGTCTGGCAACGAGCCAATGAAACCACCCAGTCGTATGGTGGAATCTACGGTTGCCTTTCAAGCTGCCTCCACGTGCATTTGGACAGCATTAGGAAATACGTACGTTTAATTCATTTTAGGGCAAAACCTCTGGAAACGGACGTAGAGCTTTAGCTAAGCCGTCGTAAATCAGAACTGTCGCAGAACCAAAACCTCTCTGACGGCACAAATGGTCCTTATTTCTGTCGATAAGTAAAACGTGTTTAAAAACCGCCGTCACACTTTACCTGGTCATGGTTGGTCAGACAAAATTCTCTGCTGCCTAAGAAGAGAGCAAAGACGAGTCTCACGTTTACAAAAACAATAATAATAAACATCTAGATCATCCTCAAGACTTCGCAGGTAAAAAGACAAAAAGGTGTGTGTGTGTGTCTCGTTCCATCTGGTGTAAAGCTAGCGCTAAAACAACATCATACCAGACACGGTGGTGGTAGTGTGATGGCTCGGGGCTGCTTCCTGGTCCGGAGGAATTCTTTCCACCTCCTTCACCAGAGGATAGAGAGAAGGGAAGCTGGTATTTTAGAGGAGGTGCTCCAGCTAGAGGTGGGGACAAGATTCAGCTGCTTCTATACCCACTGGGTTGGTGCAGCAGACGTCTGTGCCGGCTACGTCACAGGGTGCCGTTTTAGCTAACAGCTGTGGCTAATTCAAATTCAAACATAGTGGAGGATTTTAACCAGAAGAAGGCGCTACACTCAAGCACAATATTTATATTTTAAAGAAGATGCATTAAAATGCCAAAATAATGACTGCACGCGACTACAGCACGCATAGACGCTCATTTATACAGTGTATCAGCAAAAAGGTTGGTTTGGGGTGACTTGCTCTTTAAGTTTATGTTTTTTTTACATATAGTCAGGTTTGTTTGGATTATTAATTAATTAATTAGTTAATTAATTAATTAATCATTTCAAAACCACAACTTTTAGTAATGATAATAATACTAATATCTACTAACGAGGGGAACAAAGGGGAAAAATGCAGAAGCCTTTCAGGAAACTGAACCATTTCTGCACAGATCATCTCAATCGAAGGGATTTTTGTGCCCGCTGACATGGACGCTGTAAAGGTCACTCTGCTCTTTTCCATTTCTGTTGGTCGTCACTGAGCCAGGTGTCTTCCCTCCCTCTCTGCCTTCTGGCGCATTAAAACATCGAGCTTTCCGTATCCCAGTGCCTACCACATCTCATTTAGACGGTTTCCTCCAGTCTTCAAGCAGAATTAACTTCAGTTCATTCAAAAAACTTGTCACACATTTTCTTAAAAATGCACATAATTTGTTAACGCTCATAAATGAAGACACCGGTCGTGATTTTTAGTGGTAAAACACCCTTTTCAACACATACAGCTCAGCATGACCCAATTACAGAGAAAATCTGTATGTAAGGAGTCTCCGTCACAACTTCCTCTCCTGATTGGCATGCTGCCCTCCTTCTGTCAGCTGCCCTCGTCATTCCCCTCTCCACCTGTGGCACCTTTTTTCTGCTCCGTGTACATCAGTCAGGAAAAGGCCACCTTAACTCGGCCCCGGGAAGAATTAAATCACACAGAAATAACACACCTCTTCCACTTTCAGCCCCTCTTTCTGCACAGTGTTGTGTGGTTTTCCTGCGTGTGACAATGACATACAAGGGTAGGGAGTAAAAGGCAAAGGAAGTGCGTTGTAAGCGCGCGCGCGTGTGTGTGTGTGTGTGTGTGTGTGTGTGTGTGTGTGTGTGTGTGTGTGTGTGTGTGTGCGCGCGCCTGTGCCTCCACTGAGGCGACTCCTCAGTGCATCTTTGGGCTTCTTTCCCAGCCCAATTTGCATGAGTTACAGGTCTCCACTGGTCCTTAAGCATTAGGTGAGGTTCTGCAGGACAGGGTTATGATCACACAGGGACCTCTTCCACACGCAGCAGGAGCTCTACTCACACCTACAGACACACACGTATCTAAGTCAGGCTGCTGAGTGAGCACAGCTGAAGCACCAGCGTGGAGCTAGCAGTCTGTTTAATTTAGACAGACGGAAACAATCTGAATATGTGATACAATACAGACGCGCGTGTGTCTGCACTCTGACGTGTGTTTCATTCTCTCTGTGCATGCGAAGCTCCAAGAGGGCCAGCTGGTGGTGTGTCAGTTCCAGTTCCTGCGCTGGTCGGCGTATCGTGACGTTCCCGACTCCAAGAAGTCTTTCCTCAACCTGCTGGCTCAAGTGCACAAGTGGCAGAGGGAGTGTGGAGAAGGACGCACTGTTGTGCACTGCCTGTGAGTCACAGTGTTAATGATCACAACACAACCCGTTGGTTATAGATGTGTTTGTAGGAATGGGTTATATTCAACAGGACTGATACGCTAACAGCTAGTCCAGGCTGTGGTTTTACTCCACCGTCAGTTCTGATGAAACAAAACCCCAAAGACATTTAAGCTAGCAGGTGCAGAACCAGGGAAAAGAAAGCAACAGTGCACTAGTCACCCTCCTTCCTTCAGGAGCAGCCCGAGGCTGTGGACCTCATGAACTCTGACCCTTGAGCTGTCTTTCATACTTTGTTTACTACAATATGACTTTAGATCTTGGGTGGTTAGCGCTGTTGCCTTGCAACAAGACGGTCCTGGGTTCACATCCCGGCCTTTGCGTGGAGTTTGCATATTCTGCCTGTGCATGCATGGGTTCTCTCCGGGTACTCCGGCTTCCTCCCACAGTTCAAAAACATCAGTCACGTTGATTGGTCTCTCTGAGTTGTCCTTAGGCGTGAGTGTGTGTGTGCATGGTTGTTTGTCCCGTGTGTCTGTGTGTTGTCCTATGATGGACTGGCAACCTGTCCAGGGTGTACCCCGCCTGTTTGCCCGATGAATGCTGGAGAAAGGCACCGGCCCCCGTGACCCTGTGTGGACAAGCAGGTGTAGGAGGATGTTTGTAGACATCGTTGTGTGCATGCGCGAGTGGCTGAGTGGCAGAAACAAACCGCTATGAATACGCAACGTAAACGTTATGAGAGTTTTCAGGCGAAGTCCCGAATTTAGGGATGGGTACCTTTGACATTTGAATCGATTCGGTACTAATTCCCGGTACCTAGGAATCGATACCGGTACTTAACGGTACCAATTTTCGATACTTTTGAGTGTTTATTATTTTAATTCTCTTTTATAATTAAATATATATTTTTCTCAATTTATAACCATATTTGATAAATATCACGATAAATAACATTCAACTGTTTGTATTTTAACATCGTTCTTGTAGTTTTATAAGCTGATAATTAAACTGAAGCAAACATCTTTACTGTGAACTAAATTTACTGTGTATCTTCATTCCTTTTGCCGTCCTTTTTCAATTGATTTTTCCTACTGGGAAGTTAGAATTTCCTAGGAGAAAGCGAACGCACCATTAGCTGATAACAATGGTAGCAATGGAAGCTAACATACCAAGCTAATGTTATCTTAAACAGTTTATTTAACTGCAGGAGCAGATTAAAACGATGATGCCTCACACTTAGATCGTTGTCACTGGTTTCATCTTCACCCAATCACCCGTCGCATTTAGTAAAGTGAAGCCAAACTTTAGAGCACGTTCATGTTCTTCTAGTCGGAAAATCGGAGTTCCGAGGAGAAAGCGAACGCACCATTAGCGAAACCGAAGCTAACATATCAAGCTAATTATATTAACCTACTGGAGCAGATTAAGATGAGGATGTCTCACTTAGATCGTTGTCGCTGGTTTCATCATCACCCAGTTACCCATCACATTTAGTGAAGTGGACCCAAGCTTTAGCGTGCGTTCTTTCTACCATGCTGCTCTGTTTACAACTGGCTCACAGCAACCGACAACAAAACGCTCTTGCGCATGCGCAGCTGTCTTGGCAAGTTCTCGCTACGAAGGACGGGTACCGAAACGAGGCACAGTTTGAAATGACGTGAATCGGTGCTCGGTCGGTACTATGGAATTCGGTCGGTACCTTAAAAAGTACCGAATTCGGTACCCATCCCTAGTCCCGATATATAAACAAATCAACGTCTAAAGACAAGAGGAGGTGTAGAGAGAAGCTTAATATTCGTTAAGCGCCTGTTGAGCTCTGAGATGATGGAAAACGTTGGTCTGGTGGTTTTTTCACAAATCTGCTGGGATACATTTATTTCGATTTAACCGAAAGCCCTGGACCCTTCACTCATCAAAAATTAAAGGCTTTCAAACGTCTGGAGGCCTACGATTCATTTGTTTGAAGGAAAGTTGGGCCGATCTCTTCTGAAAACAGAAAGCCGTGGTCATGCTAAAGCAGCAGGTAGCTCCAACGAGCAGAGCCACAGCGCGATTCTCATCGCCTGTGGATGACGGCAAAAGGAAACGGATAAATCCTCACAGCGACTGCAAAGCTGGGCAGGTCTTCATCAGTGACCGCAGATCAAGACGCCTGAATCAGAACGCGAAAGCAGGACTCGGTGTATTTAAAATACGATGAATGTTCTTAAAAACAACTTCTTTAAGTAACAAGTAGTCGCGAAGACTCGCCGTGAACTAAATGAGCCTCACAAACTGTCCGTAGCTGCAGGAGTCCAGGACCTCTTCTGAGTGTCCGGGCCGCTTCCCATAATCTTTTTCATGTTTTGCGGTCGTTTACAGAGAAAATTTCTATAAAACTTTTATCAAGCCTCCCACGGGCCGAACCATCAACCACACAGCAAGAATAATCCATCTGCTTCGCTGAATCTTCCTCCAAAGGTGGAAAACACCCGAATTATAGGCAAAATACACGTTTCGTGCCACACACTCCCGTGAGGCAATGCGAGGAACATAAACACGGATGTCACAAAAGATCCTCCTAGATGGAGTTTAGATCTTTATTCACGCTTGTTATTTATTTTTGTGCTAGCTTACTTTGAAAATCCACCAGAAATAGCCTCATGCTCTAGAAGCGCTAGCTTTAGCTGCTCCTGGTTAAAAGTCAGTGGAACTTTTATGTCGATCACAATGTGATCAAAATTTTTTGAATGTGAAAAATTTCCAAAAGAAAATTGCATGAATCAAATATTAATTAATAGGATGACAGCAAAAGGCTTTGTTGTTGCTTTACATGCAGTTATCTTATCAGACACTCCATTTCTCTGAACTGAGGCCATTCAGGGAGCTATCTACAACAGGTAAGACAACGATCGTTTAAAATGTTCAAATCCAGCTTTAGTCAGTATTCCTGTAAGAGCATGCATAAAATAATTATCAGTAAACACACACACACACACACACACACACACACACACACACACACACACACACACACACAGGGAGGTGCTCAGAAACGGTCCTGCAGCTTCAGAAGACTGACATTTAAAACGAGAGGCTTTTTCACAGGAGGGGTGCATCACTAAAATGTGTGTAATAACATTGTGTGTGTGTCGAGCCGTCTTTGTCGTTTGATGCAAAGCAGAATCGGTGAGGCTCCTGGTGCCAGTGTGTGTTTTATAAGGTGGAAAATCTGTTCCTGGTGTAACGCCGCGTGGTGCAGCGGCGTCCTGAGCCCTGCGAGCCAACATCCCGCTGATGAATATGAATGGCCCGTCTTGCTCATTGCCGACCCGTCACACATCTATAACCCCCCTCCCCCGTCCTCCATCCAAGAGCACATCACTCAGTGCTGTCACACGGCGTTACCCACGACAACCAGCAGGGAGATTATGGAGATCAAATCAATTATGCCTTAATTCAGAATGCGATGGCTCTCACTACACTGCCAAAGCACTGACAGCGACTGATTACCTTAATATCGCTTGTATACGCCGCAGAGTCTCCCGCACCCCCACCTTGGCTGCGGCAGTCTCAGGAGACAGGAAGTGGATTGTTCTCCAGTACTTTGTAGATATTGCCTTTCATTTCTGATGACCAGCGCAGTTTTTCAGCACAAACGCCGCTCCGTGCTGTTATTTCTCAATTTATGGTTCCTTGTAGAGTTTCTCATATTGCTATTTAGATTTTTTATTATAAATATTATATAGTTTGTCTGAGCCGAGCAAAAGAACTATCGAGTTTTTATGAAGTGTTAAAACAGGTTTATCGGATTACACGGATGCCATTATTGTCCTTCAGGACTCCGTGAAACAATTTTTTCCTCTGGAAGAGTAAATCCTGTTGTGTTTACTGGCATCGGACACAGCGGGCCTAGAAATACAGGAAGGGTTCAGTGAAAAGCAGATTCACTCTAAATGTCTAATTTTGACTTTAAATGTCCCCATCATGTGTTTGATAAATAACCTTACTAACTCCAACATGCCCAAAGGATTATTGGTCTTAATTTTGCTGATGAGTGATGAGCACACAGCTGTCATAAAGATCTGCTCATAAGCAAATAAATAAATAATTCATCAACAACATACGGAGATGCTGAAGGAAAAACCAAGAAATGGATTTCATTCTGATTCGATGGCGATCCTTCAGACAGTTCTGAAGACATTTGAATCCAAACAGCAAATATCACCGGGGGGGGGGGGGGGGGGGGGTCCAGCAAGCGTAGACAGATTCAGCCTTTGGGTGTTTTTAACATTTGGTTTCAAGTTTCAGCACAAACCAGCTTTTAGGTGATAAATGTCACAGTCTGAAACCGTCTTCACAAAATAAAATGTAGTCATAAAGCATGCTTTAAAGATGCAGTCAGGAGTTTTTACCTTTAGCTTCTGGAAATATCCATCAAAACGTTGTTGAAAATGAACAAAATGATGTCCAGTGGTTGAACAGTGTCTGAGGCTTCTAACCACATAACCATAAAAACCAGGTCTGAAGTGCATACGGTGCAGGTCTAGCCTCTTTGGGGGACGCCATGTTTCCTCCTGGCCAGCTTGGGTCCGGCGCCTGTAGATGACGTCACACCAGATCACTGGCTGAACTTTTGGAAGTAACGTTACCTCGTTCAAAAACATGTAGGCAGTGAGAAACACAAATTTACTAACAAAACTGCTAAATTCTTTCCCAAACATAGCAGAAGTGCTCACTGTCACACATTTAGACTGATTTGTGAACAATGTTTGAGAGAAATGGTAATATTGTGTGTCTGGAATGAATTTTAGATCTTTAAGTCCACCTCATGAAAAATCGGAGCAGAAACAAAGGTGTTGCGTTTATATTTTTGAGTGTATCTACAGGTCCTTCTCAAAAAATTAGCATATTGTGATGAAGTTCATTATTGTCTGTAATGTACTGATAAACATTAGACTTTCATATATATTAGATTCATTACACACAACTGAAGTAGTTCAAGCCTTTTATTGTTTCTAATATTGATGATTGTGGCATACAGCTCATGAAAACCCAAAATTCTTATCTCAAAAAATTAGCACATTTCATCCGACCAATAAAAGAAAAGTGTTTTTATTACAAAAAAGTCAACCTTCAAATAATTATGTTCAGTTATGCACTCAATACTTGGCTGGAAATCCTTTTGCAGAAATGACTGCTTCAGTGCGGCGTGGCATGGAGGCAATCAGCCTGTGGCACTGCTGAGGTGTTATGGAGGCCCAGGCCAGCCCAGAATCTTCACTTTGAAAAAAACAAACTGGAGCTGGTCACGCCCACCCACCCTGCTCAGGCTGCTATAAAGCCGAGCGTACACTGTGCGACTTTTTCACTTTTTTGAGCCAATTTTCCACTCGTGCGAGAATCCACGACATCGGGGCGAGTTTTGCGCTGAGCGTCGTGTAGTGTACAGGGGGTTACGAGAGGCGATTAACACCACGTGACCAGCTACCGATCAGCAGTCGTGAGGTCGCACGGACTTCTGGCGTGTTTAATATTTCGCTCGTCCCTCGTGAGGGTGTCGCACTGTTGAAGCGGCGCTGCGAGCAGCTGCGACCCAAAAAGTACCAGAACCGCTCACGACGCATGCGCAATCCTGCATCAACGCCGCTCCCCGCTATTTCCCAAATAACACACGCTGTTTGTTTTTATTTCTACACGTTTTTTTACTCACAAAGATCGTCAAGAAAGCGTGTTTGTCGTGTTCATGTCAAATTAAACTGATCACAAAAAACAGATTTACTTTCTTTATTTTGTTTTCCTCATCCAACCCCCATAAATCCCTCTGTCCTCCTGCAGCACTCCCGAAGGACAACAGGCAAGACAAAAAAGTCTGACGTGTTGAGTAAAAACTGCTATTTTTAGCATATTTTTAGGGCCGACGTGTTCCTACCAGACGTACATTGTGAGCAGTCAGGTCGCATCCGAGAACTGGGTCGTGCAGTGTGAGCGCATGACTCGTGAGATCTGCCCTGCGAGGAACTCGTACAGTTTGAGCTGAACCTGAGTGCTACGAGTGAAAAAGTCACACAGTGTCCGCCCAGCTTAAGCTAAGAAGCTTTGACATCCTGGAGGGGCTTAGAGTAGAGCTGCTGCTCCTCCAGCATCAACAATGACAGGGCTGTTCCATGCTAACTTACCACTGGGAACCTTTCAAACGGCTCATTGGAGGAACAAAATCACTAAAAGCAAACACTGACAGAAAACAGATTTATGGATGTTTTCACGTTTGGGGAGTTTATAGAATCAGTAGAGACTCACGTGGCAGCACAGAGATCTAAATAGTGAGTTTAGCATGACAGGTCGCCTTTAACGTCCCCTTCCATCTACTCGGGACGGCGTGGACTTCTGCTGGTGGTGATCACAGCAGACGTCAGGATTCCATCAACTGTTGCAGCTCTGCAGTTACACGGATAACCAGACACGCTGGTTCGCCCTCTTCTTTGTGTGTGTGTGTGTGTGTGTGTGTGTGTGTGTGTGTGTGTGTGTGTGTGTTTGTGCATTCGCCCACCGCTGCTGAGCCTAATGGAGACAGACTGTCGCTGTGGTTATGACTGCAGCCCAGCGGATGACACGGCCTGTCACTGTGGTTGTGTCTGCGGCCGCGGTTGTGCTCTGGTTGTTGTGACGATGTCGGTGACACATCGGTATATATTGGGTCGAACCCCGGCTACATGTGCGGGCTGTGTTCACAGGAAACGGAGACGGATGTACTCATTGAGCGACACCAACTCCTGCGGTGTGTTCTGAACATCCACAAGCTGCTCTGATGAGTTTTTCTTTGTTGAGGCGATTAGTTGGGTCTTCCAAAAACACACAGCCCGAGTCCAAGTGTTAATCAAACCACACAGAGGACATACATCACCACGCTGTTAGATCACCTCCTTTAGGAAGCGCCTAAGGAAAACTCAACGCCTGCAAATGCATTTTCTGTAAAGCTTCAGTGCAACAGCCGGCTGAAGGTGACAGCAGTGTTGTAATGGAAGGGAAATGTAGAGTCGGACCTGTTTTTCACCCCGACTCCTCTTCCTGCAGCAACGGTGGTGGTCGTAGTGGGACCTTCTGTGCCTGCAACATCCTGCTGGAGATGATCCAGTACCAGAACATGGCGGACATCTTTTATGCTGTCAAGACTCTACGCAACTGCAAACCCAACATGGTGGAGTCTCTGGTAAGAAAGTCCAACCCTGACTTAAGTTACGTGTTTTCTATCGTCCTCTGAGTCCTCTCCTCTGTGTGCTCCTCCAGGACCAGTACCGCTTTTGCTATGACCTCGTCCTCGAGTACTTGGACTGCTTTGAAGGCAGATAGCAACTAAAGGTTCACGACAGCAGCTGTGTCCCGTATGCTGAGGATTTGCTGTGGGGCGACCCGGTGACACCCCCACTTCTTCAGTGTTTGGACCTTTAGACTTTTGGGGGAGTTGAAGAAAACCTCGATGGAGATTTAAAATGTTAACCTTTAATGTACAGTTGTGGTTTCCTCCTAGTTGGTGGTCTTTTGCTCTTGGATTTTAGTTGTTTTTGGTCCACTTTGCATCGGACTGAATCTGTTGAGCTGAGGATTTCGGTAGCAGCGAAGCTGGCTGCTCTTCATCGTTTCATTTCAACACTGAGGATGTTATTTCCAGAGTTACACACTTTTCTCTGAGGAATGGCATGACCTCCGTACAAAACCATAAACTGCCTTATTGTTCAATGTTAGAATCTGTACAAAACAGCAACAAAGCATTTTATGGACGAGCAGCACCAGAACCGACCTGCCTGGTCGTCATCAGTATTGAGGCATTAACTGTACAGTGTTGCTTTGTATCGTATTTTGCCATAACGTGTATGCTGGAATAGCATGTGTGTTGGGATTAGGCAGCGGTTGTGTCTCATTACTCTTCCTGTGCCAATCCCACTGACTGACTTGAATCCTTTATTTTGTTCTGCAAACAAAACAAACAGTGATGGATTTATGAAGCAGGAACCAGCGCTGAGACGCCGTCGTGCCGATGCCCCCCTGAACGATGTGGTGACGTGCTTCACCGGCACCATGCTGCAGAATTTAACTGGTTTTAACTGGTTTTACTAATCTGATGTTTGAGGTGCTTGGTTGTTCTGTAAAAGCCAGGTTGAACGTGATCATTTCAGATGTGAGAGCTCGTTGACATGAAGTTAGCTGCTGTTAGCGACATGAAATCATTAAAATGTATCAAACATAAATGTCCCGTGCACTTACAGAACATCATGGTGTTTTCAAAAGCAGAGGGGGTCTGCGGCCTTGAGACCTGGGAAGAAAAATCCAGTAAAAATAAACATCTAGAAATATGGATTCAGACACACACACGCGAACACACATACAGGCATGCAAACACACACACACACATACTCATACGCACATTCACATGCACATACCCACACACACAAACCCACAAACACACACGCACACATACTCTCTGACACACATACAGCATATATATATGTGTGTATATATATATATATATATATATATATATATATATATATATATATATATATATATATATATATATATATATATATATATATATATATATATATATATATATAACCTGCACAATTACCTGAACCTTTAGAGTAATTTTTCCTTAACTCATTCGCTGCCAGCTTTTCTCACCGTTTTTACTGTTTTTTTAAGAGTCACAGTACGTTGCGCGCTAGGATAATGTCGACGCCAAAACAAAGGGGAGACTCACCTCTTACATCAGGAAGATCGTCCTCGTCTTCCTCCGTTTATCCAGGTCCGGGTCGTGGGGGCAGCATCCCAACTAGGGAGCTCCAGACCGTCCTCTCCCCGGCCACCTCCACCAGCTCCTCCGGCAGGACCCCAAGGCGTTCCCGGACCAGATTGGAGATGTAACCTCTCCAACGTGTATCCAACGTAGATGGACCGGTAAATCGAGAGCCCGGCTTTCTGGCTCAGCTCCCTCTTCACCACGACAGATCGGCTCAGCGTCCGCATCACTGCAGACGCCGGACCAATCCGCCTGTCAATCTCCCGATCCCTCCTACCCTCACTCGTGAACAAGACCCCGAGATACTTAAACTCATCAGGAAGATGTTCTTCGTGATCCATTCTTTCATAATCTGTTGTTGAATTGTGAACGGCAGCAGCGGCCCAAAACGATCTCCTAACACATGTATGTTCTGCTTCCTGATCATGTGACTTGTGACATATGCGGATGAAGATCGGCTTTAGAGCTGAGATGTTTGCTCTCATGGCGCAGGGGCTCGTCCGACACCCACACAGTAAAAAAATGCAAATGACGACTTTAATTGTCATTGGCAGTGAATGAGTTAATATGTTAAAAATGTAAAGATTGTCTGATTGTAAGTCAAACTGCTCATTTGTTAGAAGTTTCCATGGATATCTGCAGGCTCAGCATTTTAGTGAAAACTCAATTAACCTAGGTGACACAAAAAGCCCCGCCCACTTGGGTTTAAAATGTTCTGCTGCAGAAACAGAAACCTCATGCACTTACTGCAAATCTGTGGACAAATAGCAAACTTTCCATGGATCAGCTGATGTTGTTCCAGGAGCTACAGGTTGCAGACCCCTGATGTAACACGAGAGTGGTCAGTTATAACATGGGAATCAGAAAGCACCACTGGAACAGCTGACTCGTGGAGATCTGAGTCAGCTCAGAAACAACATCACACTTTATTTCAGGAACCACAAAACCCTGTTATTTCATTCTGATCCTCTAAAACGTGTCTCACCCGAACCTTCCCCTGATGCTCTGCTAGGTAAACCTTGTGAGGTGGGAGGTGAAGCTCCAGAACTCACCCTGAACTCCTCAGCCCTGGGTCCGACCCAGCTGGAGCGTAGGAGTGTGTACATACAGATGTATAATGTCATGTGAATAATATATTCTCTGTTTGCCCTGAGTAAAGATGTTTAGTAAGTAACCGCCGAGCTGAATGTGCCGTAAACAACCTTTTTGTGTTTTTTTCAGGATTCTCGTCAGACATCAGAGTCAGAGTGTGTGTCTCTGCACTCGAGTTCAGCAGCTCACCCGAGCATGGGTAAATTATTCTGCCTTTCGCTGATTGGAGAAAATCCACACGAGTTGTTTTCCTGCACCGTGTGAAACGAGTGTCGTACTTTTATCATTCCAAAGCTTTCTATTGTGGCTGCGACTGCCAGCACCGGATCACCCAATCACTGGTTTTATTTCTGTATGAACCCAGAATAAATGACTACTGTGTTTTTGGAGCGTTGTACTTGACGAGGGTGTATCTACCACGAGACGGGGTGGGTGGGGTTCTTGTGTGGGATGATGATTAATAAATAAAAGAGGAAGGAGGAGAAAGATTCCTTGTTGTGAACCCGTCATTTGATGTAAAAACGCTCCCCTCAGAGCTGGTTTGTCCGCTGGACGTGGACTTCCTGTTTTAAAGCCCCTGACCCAGCTGTGGAACCACATCGGCCATTTAGGCCCTGTCCACACGTAGCCGGGGATCTGCCACCTACGTTTTGGCCTGTCATCCACACGAAAACGGAGTTTTTTCACACGAAAACGGATCTTTTTAAAAACTCCGGCCAAAGTGAAGATCTGCGTTTTCTCCGTTTTGGGTGTCTGCGTGTGGAGGGACAAAACCGGAGTTTTAAGGTCCGCAACGTCACTTTCCGCGACAGAAAAATGCTGACATCACGTGTGCGACCTGTGTTTACACTAGCCGACAGCATGGATGCCCTCAGAGCTGCGCTCGCTTTATCAATTGTCCAAGCGCTTTCTGCTTGTTTGTTTTTGCAAGCGGAATTACTGCTCCTTGCGGAAGACCACAGACGAAGGACGAGGTTAAGAACGGGGGAAGTACTGCTGCCTACAGGTCTGGCATGTCCTTAACAACGTATTTATCCGGGTGTGTGGACATAGTTTTTTATTAAAACGCGGTGGTGTGGATGCAAGATTTTGGAGGGGCGGAAATTCATTTTTAAATAAACCCGGCTACGTGTGGACTAGGCCTTAATCTCACCCCTCTGTCTCTTCTCTCACCTTATTCCTCCCTTTCATCATAACGCTCCCCCGCCCCTCCACTCCTCTTCCATTCATTTCATTTTTGCCTCATCTTTCTCCCGTCGCTCCGGCTTTGCTGCTTTGCAGAGTAATGCGACTCCGGACCACAGGCATCCTCTGCCACCCGCAGCCACGCTGAATAATGCAGCAGTCCTGCACACAGATCCAGTGTTTAGCAGATGGACAAGTTGGATTAATTAGAGGGCAAGACCTCCGACTGTTGGGCTGAAGACGAAATAGGCCATCTGAAGCTGCATGGATCGGTCGGGATTGATTAGCCTTTAGTAACAAACTGTCTGGGTGAAAAACCCGAACTTTAAAAGTGCAAATGTTACCTTTTAACAGATTTTTTTTTTATTTTAACTTGATTTTTCCAGAAAACAATAGCTGCCACTTTATTAGTTACACCTGTTCAGCAGCTTGTTAACACAAACAGGAAATCAGCCAATCGCACGTCTACACTGAGGACGACTTGCTGAAG